TCACCATTGTATTTGGTGAACAACCTTGTGTTAGGATGTTAAACGGGACAGGCGCGGGTCATCGTATAGACCATGATAGCAATTGTGTCAAGTATTTTTGGCAATTTTCTTGAGGGACTTGATCATTTTGTTTAGGCAACTCAGATAGCATCATCGAGGGACTATGATCTTTTGTTTTGTTTTTGTTTTTCCAAAGTACTTAACATGCATACCATGGCCCATTTTTGAAGGCAACAAATGAATTGTAACCCTAGGGGTGCAAGTGTGCATTATGTTTGTTTTTTCATGCATTTTTGTCTTTGATTAGGTCAAACTATTTGTTGGTTTTGATTTTGCATACAAACCCTAATTCTCTAATCATGGCATAATTGAAAGTATTAAGCGCGTAAAAATAAATCTAAGCTATTACAACTTTGATATAGGGAGGGGGGGTACAATTTTGAATAGGAGATTATTTTGCAAGAAATTAAAACCATAAATTATTACAACCAAATTGAATTTATAATGCATAATATTTAAATGTACAATATTTAAATAAACAAAAATAAATTAATGTTAAATAAAAATGTATTTATGCAAAAAGAGTTTTTTATGTATGTAAAGTATTTTTTAATGTGAAAAAAAAAGGTGTAGATAATTTAAAATGAAAAAGGGTTGATTTTATTTAATAAAGGGGTAAACCCTAACTTTCCTTAAAGAAAATAATATTATATTATTTATATACAAAAATATATTAATATATACAAAAATAAAAATATATTAAAAAAAGTGTTTTTTTAGTATAAAATAACAATAAAAACAAAAATGTGATATTTTTTTGTATTTTTATTCTATGTTTTTAATAAAATAAAGCATATATGTGTGTGTGTATATATATATATATATATATATATATATATATATATATATATATATATATATATATATATATATATATATATATATATATATTAAATATATTAAGTATGTATAAAATAAAATAAAATATTTACAAAAATACGATATATTCAAGAAAATATTTTTGGTGTGAATAAAAATAAGAACTAAAAATAAAAGTATTATTTACATTATTTTCAAGTTTTAACAAATAATATAAAGTATTTAAATTGTTTTCTATATTAGAAAAAATAAAATAAAATGCCAAATAAATGTAAAAAATTATAAAAATATTTTTGGAGTATTTTTTATATTTGAAAATAAAATATCAAAGTCAGAAAAGAAAATAAAAATACAAAAATATCAAAATACAAGAAAATGGGTCAGGGGGTGTGAAACTGAAAATGAGGGGTGCCAAAAGTAGGAAATAGCCAGGCCCAGCCCATCTACTTCATCTTCAACCTTCGTCCAACAGAAACACGCGCGTGCTCAGTTCAAACTCGTATCTCCTGTTTCAGTGCTTAAAAGCAAAAACTTGTAACATGAAAATTGTAGAGCATAATCACACGATTCCAACCATATAAAAAACTTAATCTAACTCTCAAAGACCAGGGAGAATTTCACTGGACCTAATTTCTAACCTAGTTTTTTCATAAAGTTCATGGATGAAATTCTCTTAGCACGTTTAATATAAATGAAAATTGAGCATATGTATGATTTCAGGGCAATGAGTACTACATCTTTCATTCACAAACCTAAGGCTAAATGTTCCTAAATAGAGAGATAAAAGTTCATGAAAAACCTGTTTCAGTTGGATTCGAGTTGGACAATGCAGCAACTTTCAGTGAGGCCTGAGGTTCTTTTGAGCTTGCTTGATGTTCCCTGAACCTTTCCCAATGCTTAGTTTGTTTTGAAATGGCCTGAATCAACCTCTAGAAGTCAACCTGCATAAGCTTGAAACAGAAATGGTGAATACTGTAAATGGAGTTACAATTGGCAATGGAGGTTTGGGAAAGCTTGAGTGAGTTGAAGGGAAGGTGTTTGAAGTGGAAAGGAGCAAAACGCACGAGCATAATGAGCTATGGCACTCAAGTTGCAACAACTGCCCTATTTTACAAGTTTTTGGTGTTTTGGTGTTCAAGGGTGTTTGAGGGATGATTGGCTCGTGTTTCTGACCTTAGGAAATATGTAAAAACTATTTCAAATGTTGGCTTGAGTTGAATATATCAGATGTGTGTGTTTTGGACTTTTGGCACAATGACTTGGTTTTGAAGCAAAAAGTGGGAGTTGACAATGCAAGGGTTGTACTGGCTTGGAACCTAGCTGCACAAAGTGGTTGAGCTTTTCCTGACATTAGGGAGCCTTGTTTGCAGCAAAAGGCTTGGTGTATGGCTCAAGAAATGAAACTTGACATAAAGCATGCTTTATGTAAATGGAAGTGTTATCTTTATGCCCAAAATGGAATTGTTCATTGTATAATGCTCCCTTGATCAGAACAATGCCTCTAACCAATGTATTTGCATTCAATTTTTGAGTGTAAATTGGTTTAGAGGTCTGTAATTAAGTACAAAGCTAGTTTGGTCAGATTTTGCAAGTGGTATGAACATGTATTGGCCATGGTTACAAAGTGAGTTTTTGCCAACTTCAAACATTCGATTCTCCCTAACCACAAATGTGTTTGAGGAATTCTTGGACAATTTGGAAAGCTTGCAACATGTAATATAATCCATCTTTGAAATGCAACTTGAGACTCCAAGTGTAACTATGTGAAAAATGGCCAAGAAGATGGGTCAAAATCCTGCCTAAACTAGGGCAAAATTTCTCTAAGTTAAAAGTTTTAGGGACCCTTGTTCCAAAAATCATAACTTGAGATCCAAGCTTCTTTTGAGAAAACTTTGTGAATAAAAGTTGTAGAATTTTTTGGAGGACTACAACTTTCATGTTGTAAGTTTTGTTTGAATCCATTTACATCATGGTGAAAATATGGGGCAAAGTTAAGAAAAATTAAGAAAATTTCATAACTTAGAAAATTTCTAAGCTATGAAAATTTTCAATTTCAAACCCTAATTTGCAATTTTGGGTTTCTTGATGAACAAGTTTCATAATTTGACATATATTGATTAAAAATGACCCTTGGCACTTGATTTTGACCAAAAAGTCAAAGTTTGACTTTTTAGTGTACAGTCAAATTTTGATCAGTTGACTGAAAAATTCATCTGCCAATCCTATGCATTTGAGATCTTTTGAACTTGTTGAATGGGTCAAGATAATGTCATTGAGTCCTTGAGTCCATGGTTGAGCTTAATTTGCCATTGGCTAGGTCAAACATTCAAAAATTGCCTTTGTACAGTCAAAACCCTAAAAATGACCATTTTGCCCTTTTGGTGATCTGATCAAATTTCTTGTGAAACTGTGATCCAAACTTGATCAAATGGTTCATATGAGTGTTGATGTGGGTCAAAATTCATGAGGTTTGGACAAACTTATGAGTCCAACATGAAGTATGGAAGTCATTTTGGGCATTGAAGGTCCAAAAATCCTTGTGCAAACTCAAACCCTAATTTTAGGTCAACAGTGCAAGGAGATGTCTTGAGCAGAGCAAACCCTAGCTTGGTCTTGAGTTTCAAGAGTCTTGTGATGAGAAAATGTTGATAAAATGAGAGGGCAAATTTTGGGGTACAACATTATGCATTAAGATACTTATCATCAGCACATCTGATCTTTGTTCTCCTTCTGGAGTCAAAGTCTATCAGCCATTGTTTGTTCCCAGTCAAGTGGTTTGAACAACCAGTGTCCATATACTACAAATCTTCTGAACAGTTTCCATCATAATCAGAAGCCATCAGTAGCACAGGTTCATCATCAGAATCTCTTCTGGCTATATTTGCTTCTTCTGATTTCCTTCCTCTGTTTCTACAATCTCTGGAAAAATGGCCAAACTGTTTACAACAGTAACATTGAACCTTCTTCTTGTCATATCTTTCCTTTCCCTTCTGATATTTCTTTTCATCAGAAGTTGAGGTTTCTGACTTCTGTAATTTATCACCACGTCTATTCTGCTTCTGGTCCTTCTTGACAAAAGAAGCCTTCAGAGCTTGCTCCACTTCCCTCTCAGAAGTTCTTTCAGTCAGACGCAACTCCTGCGCTTCTAGACTGCTTTACAACTCTTCTATTCTCATGGTTTCCAGATTTTTAGAATGTTCAATAGAAACAACAATGTAATCAAACTGAGGAGTAAGTGACCTCAAAATTTTTTCTATGATTACCTGTTCAGAAAGTGTTTCTCCACAAGATTTCATCTCATTAGTGATCAGAATCATTCTGGAGATATACTCAGAAACTTTCTCATTGTTCTTCATGTTGAGATTCTTATATTGCTTACGCAGGGACTGAAGCTTTACCTTCTTTACTGACACGTCACCACCATAACATCTGGCCAGTATATCCCATGCCTCCTTCGATGTCGTCGAATCAGCAATCTTCTCAAATACACTTTCATTAACACACTGATGGATATAAAACAAAGCTTTCTGATCCCTCTTCCTCGTAGCTCTTTCTGCATATTTTTGGTCTTCAATAACATCTGCTGCAACTGGAACATAACCTTTAGTAACAAGATCCAGAACATCCTGAGCACCAAACAACACACACATTTGTATCTTCCATATGTTCCAGCTTTTGCCATTAAAAACTGGAAGTTTAGTGTTCAAACTACTGTCTCCACTCATCTTAAACCTTGCACAAAAACTCAGATCTCAGATTCTCACTCAGTGTTTCCCAAACCCACAAAATCAGTGTGATTCTGTTTCAGATTTTTGTTCAAGATTCAACATAAATCAGGAACCAAAAATCAAACACACAGCTCACTATCACTCGTGTTTCCCAGAAGTTCAAAACAAACCAAGAGCTTTAGATACCAATTTGTTGGTGCAAGATGATGAGAAAAGAGGAAGAAGAGAGAAAAGGGATAAATGCTATAAAGCTGCCACAAATGATTGGAAGAGAATTGATTGTATTAAATGTAAACCTAGTACACCTATTTATACACAAAAGTAGTAAAGATAAGAATGCCACATAGGGCCTAAAGAGAATATCTAACAAATGGAAAAATACTAAATTACCCTCTAATACCCCGCATCATAACCTGGTCTAACCGTGAACCTTCCATCCCTGTCGTGTTTCAAAACAAATATGTCCATTCCTTCTGATTCAGAATTGAATCCTTCCATAATTTCATAGAAATCATTAACCCGCAACCAGAAGAAATTATCACAATCTCCCTCGATAAGCTGCAAATTCCAGGACCACGTATTGCCAATCCTAGTTCCAACGTATGAAACTGAACAACAACTTCATAAACGTCTTCGAAAGCATATTTCATGATTTGGTCACCTATCCATCTGTTATGCCAAAACAGAATACTATTCTCGTTTCCCAACCTGCAAAAAAATGTCAGTATTAAAAACGTTTGTATCAGTTCCCAGGATTGCATCCATATGAATAAGGTCCCTCCACCATATCGAATCACCTCTACCAATCTGATTCTTATCATTCCAGAACATCTTCGCTTCCGGATTCTCATACCTATACCAATTAATTCGCTCCAAACTGCCTCCTTATCTATAACTATCCTTCATTTCCATTTTAACATAAGGGCTATGCTAAAAGTCTCAATGTTTTTAATTCCGAGTCCCCCCGCTTCTTTCGGGCTGCACACCTTATCCCAAATAATCCAGTGAATAGTTTTGTGATTCTCTTTGCCACTCCAAAGAAAAATACTTTGAATACTCTGAATATCTCTCAAAATCTTAATTGATGCTTTGTAAAAATACAAAGTGTAAACATGCAACGCATTCAATACCATATTAAGTAAAACCATTCTTCCCCCATCGACAACGAACACCCTTTCCACCCTGACAGTTTATTCATCGTGTTCCAGACCAAGTCTTTTCACATGTATATCCTCTTGGGACTTTCTCCAACCATTACACCAAGAAATTTAAATGGTAGGGAGTCAATGGCGCAAGTCAAGAAAGAAGAAGCTGAATCCATTCTACAATCACACAAATTAATGCCATATAAGTTAATCTTGTGAAATTTAACCTTCATTCTTGACATGATCTCAAAACCTTGTGTGATACGGTGGCCAGAACTGGACTGTTTTAGAATGCTGGTTTGCGTTTTGCGTTTGTTTTCGCAAAATGTCGCGATAAGAAAGAGTCTCCACCGACTTTTAATTTATCCAACAAGGAAAGGAAAAAAGCACAAAAAAATTCCTTTTTTGAGATATTTCTGAGTACGGGGGGTAGATTTATAAAAAGGGAAGGCATTAGCACCCTTTCTATCTGTAGTTATCTACGGGCTCTTAGGTACTTGCTCATCATTTTCAAAAAAAAATTCTTTGTGTTTGGGGGTTTTGAAAAGTTTTTGTTTTAACTTCGAGTTAACTCTTGCTTCTGTCTTCAAGAGTGTAATGAAGTGTTTTTTTTGAAAACTTGTTTTGTAAAGGAGTGTAAGTGTGAAAAAAGTTTGTTTGGATTGAGCAAGTACTTAAGAGTTAATCTACCTACTCGAAAAAAGAATCGTTCTATGTTCGTTTCCTTTAGACAACGCTATCCCACTATTAGTGAGTAGGTAGCACCATCGTTGGAGTTTTGAGGGTCAATTCGAAAGGGAATGTACGGTCACTAAAGCAACGTTAGGACGTCTTAGTAGTAACCCTAATGTCTTAGATCAATCATCTGAGGCAACAATATCCGAGGCAACCTTTCTGAGGCAACTATGATATTTAGACAAAAGGATGACCACTAAACCACCCTATACTCAATGACCGTTTACCGAAGGCAACCAAGTGGGAGTGTACCCTAGGAGTGCGCATGTGCGAATGATTCAATTTCAGTTTATTTATCTTTGCACATTTAGGGTGATCTAACTGTTTTAAAATTAGACATACATTCTTGTCATGCATCCTAATATCATACATCTAACAGTTAATATTTTGCGAAATTTAAGGTGCGGAAATTAAACTATGCTATTACAAGGCTTCGGGTAAGAGGATTAATTACATAGCCAAAAACCCGCAAAACGATAAATAAAAGAAAAATCCCAATTAAACTATTACATCCTATGAACAGTTACATTAAATATCGTAAAAAATAAATAAAAGCGGTAAAGGTCCTACTAATCATCTATTACATCCCAATATACAGTTACAGTAATAAAAGGAAGTGTGAAAGAATAATAACGCGCAAATTTGAAAAGACGTCTAAAAATCCTAAGATATATAAAAAAAATATTTTTGATGTTTTTTTTTTAATTTATAAAAATGGTTTAAGTTAAAAAATAATTGATCTAGATCTATATTAAAAAAAAGATAATTATTAAAGAAACATGAAATTTAAATAAAAGAAATTAATTCTATGTTTTTTTGGTATTTTTGTTACGATAAGGAAAATGAATTAAAATGAAATTAAACCTAAGTTCTATTAATTTTAATTTTTAAAAAAAAGTTAAAGTGTTTAGTTAATTAATTTACCAAAATTAAAATTTAATTAAGAAAAAAAATCTAAATCTATTTTTATGCGATTTTTATATTTGTTTATTGATAAAAATAAAAAAGGGATTAAAAGAAATAAATGAAATGAATAAAACAAGAAAATAAGATGGGCCTAGTAGCAAAAGCAAACAGGGGGGTGCAATCATCAGAAATCCCTAGGCCTGAATCTTCGAAAGCTTCATGCTCTAACTATGGTGTTTTTTTATTCTTGCGTGGAACCTATGATTCAACCATCCATAACTGTTCTATATAAACTCAAACAAACGTTAGCGTACCATAAAATGTGATTAAAATTAGAGATTCAAAGTTTAAAATTTTACCAAACCGGTGTTTGTCAAACGGGGGAGTGCTAGGCGTGTCATGTATTGCTCTTGGGCCTTGTAAAACTCATGAGGACTTCAAGAGGATGGTTTGAGGCTTGATGTCAATTGAGAGAGACCGGAACCTCGAGATATGACTTGCACCAATTCTTTGATTTCTGGAGAGCTTTTTGAAGAGCTTTTAGAGAGCTTTTTGAAGAGCTTTTTGAGAGCTTTTTAGAGAGGAATTTCGTGTATTTCAAGCTTGTATGGCTCTATATTTATAGAGGAGAATTAGGAGACAAGAAAGCATGGAAAGAATCTCCCTCATAATGTTGTGTTTTAAGACCATGATCAAAATTTGAAAAAAAATGTCATATTTGATGATTTTATGCCATTTTCATATGTGGATGAACCTGGACATATTTGAAGGGTTATTGCACGAAATTAATTGACATAAACTAGCATAAAACTTGCCTAAAATGGATTCAAATCAAAATTTACATTATTTCTATTATTTATTTATTTAATTCTAAATTTTAATGAATAAAATATCAAAATAAATAGCATAAATAGTAGAAAAATGTATGGGTGAGCTTAGAGGTCGTGGACCATGTTAGGAATGAGTTTCAAACTTGAAAAGATAGGCCCGTTTGGAAAAAAATCTAAGTTTGGTTAATATTTGCTTCATGCATTTTTTCAAAAATTGTCCAACTTTGACAATGCATATCTCTCTCAATTTTAACCTTATGAGGGTGTTCTTGGACTTTTTAGAAATCTTAGGATGTCCTCTAAGCAATCCTTTCGGTCCTATCTCAATTGAGTCTTCCATGTTTATGTATGAAGCTTTGACCCAAAAGGTGTTTTTATTGACTTTTCAAAATGACCTATAATATAAAAACTCATATCTTTTTGTGAGTGCATATTTTGAACCTGGGAGTTAAAGATGAATGGTAGGGAAGTGAATCCTCTTCAAAATGAGCTTTAGATGGGTCATTTCAGATAAGGTATGAGAAAGTTATGCTTGGTCAAAGTTGAGTTGACTTTTCCTACAAAACCCTAATTTAGCAATTTTTGGGTTTTGATGAATTGTGAGCAATCCTTGAGGAATCATGATCAAACCTTGATCAAATGATGAATAATACTTAAAAATGATAATGTTGACCAAAAATCTTGGAGTTTGACTGTATGTGGGCCACAGTTGACTTTTGCCCTAGCATAGTCGATTTTCAGGCCTTTGAGCAATTGACTGAGCAAACTTCCTCTACAAGGCTTGAAACTTGTCATGGATGATCTTGATAATATATGAGGACAATGGTGAGCATTTGAGACCCTTTGGACTCAAGCATCTTGATGCAAACTGAAACCCTAATTTGGGGTAGACTGTCTCAAGAGAGGGTTTGTTTGGTCAACCCTTGAACTTCCATGAACAATTTGAGGACCTCACTTGAAATGTATTGAGAAATATGGGAGGGAAAATTTTGGGGTACAACACTAGAGTTCCCAGAAATTTGCACTCGCATAAAGTGGTAATTGTCTTGTGATGCCGAGAATGGGCTTACAGATGCCATTTGGAAATTGCTGATGGGAGATGGGCTTAAAGATGCCATCCGAAGGAGTGTCGATCGCATAAGAGATTCCTTAGCGAGAGCTTGTATACCTGCCGTTGGGGAAGATTCCGCTGGGGAAGTCTGATATTTGTTGAGAGAAGTAGAATTTTAGGAGCTTTGGTCGTCCGTTATTCTGCTGGTGAGTCGTCTCTGTTTGATTTTTTGGAGCTTCGGTCGTCCATATTCTTATGAGGAACCATCTCTGTTGAATTTTAGGAACTTCAATCGTCCGTATTCAACTAAGGAATCATCTCTATTGATATTTAGGAACTTCAGTCGTCCGTACTCAACCGAGGAATCATCTCTGTTGATATTTAGGAACTTCGGTCGTCCGTACTCAACTGAGGAAACATATCTATTAAAGAGGAAAGTTGAATTTTAGGAACTTCAGTCGTCCGTATTCAACTGGGTAATCATCTCTGTTGATACTTAGGAACTTCAGTCGTCCGTACTCAACTGAGGAAACATCTTTATTGAAGAGGAAAGTTGAATTTTAGGAACTTCAGTCATCCGTATTCAAATTGGGAATCATCTTTGTTGATATTTAGGAACTTCGGTCGTCCGTACTCAACTGAGGAGTCATCTCTGTTGATATTTAGGAACTTCAGTTGTCCGTACTCAACTGAGGAATCATCTCTGTTGATATTTAGGAACTTTGGTCGTCCGTACTAAACTAAGGAAACATATCTATTGATATTTAGGAACTTCGGTCGTCCGTACTCAATTGAGGAAACATCTCTATTGATATTTAGGAACTTCGGTCATCTGTACTCAATTGAGGAAACATCTCTATTGAAGAGGAAAGTTGAATTTTAGGAACTTCAGTCGTCCGTATTCAAATGAGGAATCATCTATGTTGATATTTAGGAACTTCGGTTGTCCGTACTCAACTGAGGAGTCATCTCTGTTGATATTTAGGAACTTCAGTCGTCCGTACTCAATTGAGGAGTCATCTCTGTTGATATTTAGGAACTTCGGTCGTCCGTACTCAACTGAGGTAAAGGCTTCTTAGCTTGAATTTTGTGAGAATATGATTGTAACTTTCCTGAAAGGTAAAGGTTAGCTATATGTAATGCATGATATGTATCAAGCAATGA